CTTTGTCTTACAAGACCAACCAGACAATCCCGCTTCCGTTTCCCTACATTAACGCTACTCGAACACTTACAAACGCAACGGACTAGTGGACAATAAAATAATTTCTTCTTGCCACTGAAATCTTATTTATTTAATAACATTGTTAACCTAGAATGGGAGAATTTTCATATTTGTTTTTTATTTAGATTGGGACTGTATGTATTAAGCAAGGGCAGAAATACCGATAGGTCGATAGCCTTTTTTAGAAATAAAGCTGTTTACTACTACTATTGTTAACCTAGAATAGGAGAATTTTCATATTGGTTTTTTATCTAGATTAAGACTGCATGTATTAAACAAGGGCAGAAAGACCGATAGGTCGATAGCCTTTTTTAGAAATAAAGATGTTTACTACTACTATAACCCAAACACCCGTGTTGCTCAAGCCCAGCTAAAGAAAGCGTTAAATTTCAGCCAGACGAAGAGGACAAGGACAGCGAAGACAAACCAGAACCTGAAGATGAAGATGACGAAGACAACTCCGAGGAGGAGGAACTGCCAGTAAAACCGCGACTGATTGTGCCGAAGATTTACATTAAAAAACCACTGAGCAACAAAACCGCTGCTGGTTAGTTGGCAGGTTTTTCGTCGCTAATAACCTCCCTTAAACCTTTGCGCTTTTAGGCCCTTTGGAGAACTCCAAAGCCGCTCAATTCAAGCCGAAACCCTCAAACCCTATAATAGCAGCTAACGATGGGGCGCCAACTAAAGGGATTTTGAGCTTGGAAAGCAACGTGAGAGATGGGGAAGTCGGAGGATTGGACAAGGTCAGCAGCCCTCCCAGGAGCTGGTTGTACCATTTTACTCAACTTCTGGGTGTTTTAGCCAGCAGCCAAAAGGCCGAGAAAACCGAGTATTGTCCACGAGCCGATTGTCAGCAACGTATCGGCGCTGATTAAAAATGATATTGAGAACGATGATCTTTCGGAGCCGCCAGGCATTTCGCTGCCAATGTTTGACGAGCTGGATTCCAGCCATCCCAAAGACCTTTTGGACGACTCGCCGCGGAAGCGGAAAGCACGAGGTGAGACTAAATGTGGCAAACACGAGGAGGTAAATAATGTTGAGTGTTTAGGGGCTCTAAAGAAGAAGCTGGAGGCGACTGGGGCTGCGTCAGTCAAGTTCACGCAACCCGCAATCGAAATTGCGGCGCCACCTCAGCCCTTCTTGCAAGCCCAGCCGGCCCCTTCAGTTATCACCAGGATGTTGCAGGTTGCGTAGCCCCCGGAAATGGTGCTGGGTTTTGGTTAATTGGGGCCTAATTTTTCAGACAAAACCGGGTGCTTCGGTTTATCCAGTTGGGCGGATCCGTCCCAAACAGTTTGCAACTATGCGAGATGATGATTCGGACGAATCCAGTCCCAAACACTCACCAGCTTCGTCACCGTCCATCGGGCAGATTGGCGGAGTTTCCACAGTGTACAACTTGGCAGGTCAGTTAGTTGTTTGCGCACAATCAGAGCTGGATTAAGAGCAAGTTGATCTTCCAGGGGCTCCACAAGGCAATGCCCCGCTGCCATATCGCCATTCTGGGCCTCCGCATCCAGGAATGAACCATTATCCCCGAGGTCCTCTGGGAATGGCCGCTCCGGCGTATCATCGGGGGATGGATCCCTCCCCATCTGGGGGCTCTGTTATCAGCTTCTCTGATGCTCCAGCAGCAGCACCCAGTGGCTCCGCCCCAATCAGCGCGCCGGATAACCTCAATAGGCGCCCCCAAGTCAATCAAAGGTATGGTCTGTTCCGAAGTTTGAAAGCTTCCCAGAAAGCAGTGAGTGCATGGAAATGTATAGTCAGTTCCGAACTGCTTGACAGTTTTTATATTGCTTGTGCAGCAAGCGACACGGAAAAAAGCCGTTGATCGTTTCTGTCGCTTTTTCGAAAACTATTGCATGTTTTCGATATGTTGCAAGGAAAACAATCAAATAAGAAGTAAATATACAGGGTGTCTCGTAAAAATTGTCTCTGACTTGAGACAGCCGCTGCATATTTTCCATGTTGGTACTGTTTTGGACTGTGGAATCGTTTCAGATACCCGCCCCCTACAGGGGCGGCTTTAGGCACCCCCCGTCCGCCTCTGCATTTGTACCGGCCGCCGCCCCCGGGCAATAGTGGAACCCCTGTGGGGGCCCCCTACGTGCCGCCCTTGGGGGCCACCAATGGGCCGCCTCCTTCGCACCCTCCATATCATGTGGCGGGGGCAGTAAATGGGCCGCTGCCGCCCCCCCAGCCGTATCCGTCGCCACCGGTCGCCGCCAATGTACCACCCGCAGTACTCCCCTACCCGCCTTCCGTTCCAGCTGCCCCCAACATTGGGGCGCAGCCCGCCCACTCGCAATATGTGCCGCCGCAGCCGCCTGTTTCGGACGGTGCGCCCCCATCAGGCCACCCACCTGAGGGGTATTATGGCAGTTATCCACCTTCTACGGCCAATGAAGACGCCTTGCAACCGTCTTCGTATGGAGGGTTAGTAGCTGGCATGTTTTTTTTTTGGTTGAGCGAAGTTGGGATTTGAATCAAGTCTTATAACGCAAAGAAAGCCTAATAATTGAAGTGAACAGTTAACTTGTTTTTGTGTTCTAAGCTGTGTTAAACAATTTCAAACTTTCACTTGAATTTTTATGGTCGTCATCTTCAGTCTGTTTCAGATATTCCCAGACTACCACAGAATAATCCACCAAATTTTTGAAAATGATTCCGTGCACCAAAACGAGTGACAACCACAAAGCGTCCGATATTTTCTCCACTTATTTTGTCTGGCTGAAATCGGAAAGTTGTTGTTTATCATTGTTGTATCGAAGCATCGTTAACCACATTATTTGGCGATGTAGCTAATACAGAGGCGGCGCTAGGAATTTTTCGTCGAAATCTAGTGCCAGTTTACTGGGCGAAATTAGCTCTGTAAACTTTGGAAAGTTCTCAAAAATCAATGAGTGCATCGATTTGAATGACACTTTCAGGATTTGGAGCTACTTTAATCTGCTCCTCTCTCTAAAAACTTCAATTGTGACCCGCCTTCATAGGCGGAGTTAGGATTGTTTCATCGCGGGCAAGTGCAAGTCTGCTGCACTAAACTGGTTGGGTACAGTTTGAAAGCTATGCAAAAATCAGCGAGTGTATGGATTTGAGTGAAAGTTTGAGGGATTATAGCTCCATTAGTTAGCTACATTCTGTAGAACTTGCAACGGTCGCTTTTTTCCAGAGGCGTAGCTAGGAATTTTTCTTTGAAATCGAGTGTCAGTTTACTGCGCGAAATTAGCTCTGTAAATTTTGGGAGGTTCTCAAAAATCAATGAGTGCATGGATTTGAATGAAACTTTCAGGATTTGGAGCTACTTTAGTCTGCTTCTCTATCTAATAACTTCAATCGTGACCCGCATCCATAGGTGGAGTTGTTATTTTTTCATTGCGGGCATGGATTTAAGTGAAAGTTTGAGGGTTTGATGAAAACTAGATTAGACATTCTGAGCAAATGCTCATTATAAATATAATGTTTATTTAATTTTTATTTATAAACTTTGAAACTGAGCATACCAGATAGACGCAAATGCAAGACGAGAAAAAGCGACTTGGTCGATAACTTTGTTCGAACTAAATAAGTTCATTATTATATTATTGTATACTCGAATATTTTTTTCGGGTTTTAGATTGCCGCCAGAAACAGGTCCTCCATATCAGGAGCCGTATGGAAGTGAAGGAGCCCCGAATGCGCCGGCCGGCCCTGCAAAAGCGTTCGAAGAAGAGTCCGGAGGCGAGTTTGCTGGCTTGGCATCGTATTTTTCTAGCCAAAGAGAGGACGACTTGGACTCATAGTGGATAGACGCGATTGTAAGTAAACATTTTCGTTTTCCCAGCAGCAAAACTCAACAGTTACTTGCAGATTGCATCAGTATCATCAAAGGACTTGAGTCTTCTGCCTGCGAGTAGCGCGTTCCACACAGGGGTAACAATCGACTTATTTTTGTTAGTTAGAAGTATTTTATATGAAAATGTACAGTAATCTATTAACTTTTATATTAGCAGCAGTTGGGCTCTTTGTACATACTGTTTTGTATATAAAACTGTCTAGATTCAGACTAATCTCTCATTATGTATCAATGGACTTATCGAATATAAACTGTATATAGAAAGAAATTAATTAATAAACAATCTACTGGCGCGCCATTGGGGCCGGAGGACGCGGTTTTTACAAATATCGATTTTTTTCAACATTTTCATCTCCGACCCAATGAGCGTTTTGTGATTAGTTTGGAATTCCAATTTTTATTTTGCAATATTAGTGTGACGGTTTCCTTATGAAATTCAAGTGATTTGCTTCAATTTCGATGGCAGCGGTTTGGTTGTAATGTTTGTAAAAGTTGTGAACAGATGGAATAAAAAACACTATTCTGTTTCAGATTGATTGACTTGCTTTACAAGCGAATTAAAATTTTTTTCCATATAAGTACTAGTATTCCGAGTGATTTGGTGTTGCCAGGGATCGACAGTTTGGGTTAGTAAACGATTTTGTGTGTCTTGACTAAAATCGGATTTGTATCAGACCAGAATGTGTAAGGAGGTAGCGAGCAAATATAAGGAGCAGGAGTTTAGCGTTTCGTTATTGTCTTTGTCGATGCAGATGCTCTCTATTGGTAAAATTTTGCTCACACATGAAAGTTTCGATTTGTATCAGGAGGGCAGAATGTTTAAGGAGGTAGCGAGCAAATATGAGGAGCAGGCGTTTAGCGTTACGTTATTGTTTTTGTCGATGTAGATGCTCTCTATTGGCGAGATTTTGCTGGCACACAAAAGCTTCGCGCGCAGAATCTCCAAGAAGTTATACAGCCACGAGCAAATATCAGGAGCAGAAATAGACATTAATCGCAAATAACGTAACGCTAAAACTGTTTCTGTGTGCCTTGGAAGGAGGGATTAACTTGCGTTAGCCGTAATGAATGAATGAAAGCTCACGTTTTTTTGATTTATTTATTAACGATGTTATGCAACAAACACAGATTTCGATCAACAAACAAATGTCTAAAACATGGATTAAAACCTAAAGATTTTTGAAAAATCGTAAAGAACTACTACACACTGAATTGGTCCAAGCGTATTTAGATAGTTCGGAAGAAGTCCATAGGGATGGTCGCAGATAATAACAAGTTAAAAACATCAGTCGTTTCGAAGAACTAACAATATTAGTGGCAACTGTAACAAAAGGCCGATTCAACATTATATTTACACGCGTTAGGCCCATTTGCGCCTTTCATTCTACCACAGCACAGTTGGCGCTAGCCAATATCACTTTGAGTCATATTGCATTAGAGGTTTCCAACATTTAACACGGTACAGACTAATTACTGATACTGATTATACATCGTTTACATGCTCTAGTACAAAATATATCGCTTATATGTGAGAAGGAAGGGATCAGTTGTTTATTGCCAACATTGGTACATAGGTACAGGGTGTCTCGGAAAATGTGGACAGGGTGGAGAAAATGATCAACAAGCTTTTAAAGTTTTTGAGGGAATTTGATCATTTTTTCTTATGAGGGGCCTGTAGAATTTTTACGAGGAGATTCTCATGTTATTTTCACACCCTGCGTATGTATCCGAAAGTAGGTCCACCTTTTCGGGAACACCCTGTAAACAGCGGATCAGAAAAACATTCGCGCCCACCTTGCGCTTAGTTCAATTTCTCCGCCCATATGAAATGTTTGTTTTTATTTTAATTTTTTTGAAATTGAAATAAATCAGAAAATTTGAAATCAGGGGTTAAATCAAGAAAAAATTAAATTGAAAGATGTAACATCTGTGTTAGAACAAAAATGTAGCCCCACTAAATTTTAATCTCCAGTTTATGCGTTTTAATTGTTCTTAATTAACAAACTGTATGAATGCTCGCATATTTTTGTGCTGCAGTTAAAATACAATTATTTCCATTCGGTTTTTGCGTCTTCTAGCCTAGTATTATTTAAGATGAAATAGTCCAGAAAATAAAGATTATTATTAAGTTTACTAAGAAAATAAATAACAAACATTTCACATTCGTGCAGAAATTCAACTGAGCGCCGACTGTCCGGACATTTTTGTGACTCTACTATAGATAGATATATAGATATTCACGTGACTTTCTAAACAGGGTGAGTGTGTTAAGGAAAATGCGGAGAATATTCACCTCCTTTGCGGTGTTTCTACAATAAAACTGGACTTAACACTTCGATCGGGGAATTACAAAAATACTTTCCAATAAACATGGGGTTGTTTTTTGTTTGACAAATAAATTGGGTTGGCTTTGGAGATTTTCAACCAGCCAACCCGCCTTAAAACTAGGGATTTGGCACTCGGATCATCCTCACTCGGGCCTGTGCTCACGACATGATTTTTCCTGATATGCGTCGTAATGAACAAAGTTGTCTTTTTTGTAATTATTAACAGGGTGGGCAAATTGGGCGATTTTATTTGCGAAAGTGAAGCAAATACCAAGAAACTGTTGGTGTTATTTTCAAGTCGCAATTGTTATAATAATAAGCGACTCGACTGAAGTGATACATTTCGAAATTTACAATTTTTTGGAAAATCGTCCTGAAAACATTAAAAAATCAAACCTGCCCTCCATATATAATGGTTCGATCTTTATCCAGTGCACAAAACCCCAATTTTGTGGCTCTCTCGGTTTCAGAGAAATATTTTTTAAAGCAAGCCAAGCACGTCAAAATTCAAAATTAGAAAAATCCTCGAGCTCTCTCGAGGCTAATGATGAACCAGATGCAAAAGTTTACGTTTTACATGGATCGTTTCCTTCTCTACCTAGTGCACCCAACCTCCATTTCTTTGCTCTTTTGCTCTCAGGGAAACGATTTTTTTAAGCAAGCATTTTGAACGCTATTGAAGGAAAAGTTGTCCAAACTTTTCTGGCCAATTGCCTGAAGGCAAAAGGCTACGCTTTTCACATATATAAAAGATTGTCTCCCTATTAAGCACAATACATTCCAATGTCATTCTTCGACAGGTTTCCAAGATACGCTGTTTTAAAGAAAGTATTTCATGATTTTTCTCTGGAAACATAAAAATCGATGGAATATTCCCTGATGGTGTCCGAAAATCGAAACTGGCTCCATGAACGGAACCAGTTCCAAATTCAAATGTAAAACGGGTATTTGAAAAAGACGATAAAGAAGACCAAACTATAAAGACGACGACTTTCCTTGCAAAATCGATCTTTTAATTTTTTTGCATAAACGACTCTCAGTTTGCCATAATTTACAGTAAAACGTGTTTATAAACAGTTTGGTTTAGAAGTATTGACCTAAAAGTGGAGAAAGCGGAATTTAGAAAAAAATCAAATTATTCACAGCGACGCAGATGACGAGTTTCCGAAATAATTGATTATAGACTCGCTTGTTTTGTTCGGGAAAATATTTTTGAAAAAAATCCAGAAAAAATTATTAGGGTTCGAGAAAACTGTTTACAAAGCTTTTAAGTTTTCCAATAAAATTTATTTTAAAATATTCACAGAAAATACCTGAAGATGGTATTTTTAAGTAAAACTAGGAAAAAAAGCGTTTTTTGCGTAGAAAGAATTGCTTAAACTGGAAAAACTGAAATTTTAAAGGGACTTGCAAAAGCTTCAGAGCGATGAGGGCGGCGAATTTTCTCAATAATTTTTTGTAAACTTTTGCTCTGGTCGTTTTTGTAAGACAATCTTAATTGCTTTCGGTTAAAAGTCAATAAAATTATTCTGTGCAATTTGTGCCAAATTTTCTTTCTAAATTCCCCGCAAAGCGACGCATGAGGCGAATTCGCTAACAAAATTGATTTTGTTATTTTTGGCTGAAAACTGATTGTCTGAAGGAAGCATCAGAAAAAAAAAACAGTAGAAATTTATTTGAATTTTGTCCCGAATTCGATAATTTTTCGCAGAGAATACCTTAAGATTGTCAGTATTTTAACAGCAATAATCTAAAAACAACTAAAAAAAGGCCATCAACATTTTCCCAGCAACGGAACCGAGTTACTGCGCCAACTCCTAAAAATTCACTGATTTTCCCAGGCCTATCAGGAAAGAGATTCAAAATTGCGTTAACAAGGCGATTCCAGGCTTCAGGTATTCGTAAACTTTTCCCACTTAAACATTTTTTTGTTACCGAGGGTTCAATGAAGATCATTAATATTTTTCCTTTGCTAATTTCTCGATGAGAGCTACAAGGTAAAACTAACGAATTGGTGATTCCAACTAATTTTTTTTTTGGTTTCGCGATCTGGCGAAATCTTCTTTCTCTATCTTTCGATAGTGGCGAAAAATTAAAACAGTATTTTTTAACTCCTTTATTACTGGAAATATTTTTAAATTTTTATTCATTTGTAGACTATTTAGTCAAATAAGTCTGGATAAATCTACCAGACACACTTTTGGGTACTTTTTTCCATCAGTCCAAAGGCTTATGGAAAGAATTAAAATCGTCTTCAAAAAAACATCAGTTTTGAACAAGAATTCGTTTTTGAACTAAATTCTCAAAAACACTTTAAATGCGGCCCTTTATTTTTGGAACTTTTGACTTCTTTACCTTTTCAATAAGTGCATAGGCAAGTTATTCATAGCCGAAATTTTCAAAGTATTCCTAAGACATTTTGAAGCAAATTTTATGCAAGTCGCTTTAAAAGCCGAACAGAATTTCAATTTAATTCTGCCCTAAAAAGTTCATGTTCGAGTGCTCGACTTTTGTTCTGCATTTCCAACTGTAACTCTTTACTGGGTAATAAAGAGTTAAAAGTGGAAATTAAAAAATATATCGTCTAAATGTGCGATACATGGTTGAAATAGGGATCACCTAATGGTATCAAAATATACAGGGTGTTGGAATGAAAAAACCCAAGTTTGTCGTGGCAACTTTTTTGAGACACTCCGTATTTGTGTAGTGATACTCTACAAATACTTATCTATTGAAAATGTGTTAAACTTTTTTGAATTTTGCCAGTAACAAAGGAGCGACAGAAGAAATCAGCAACGAAACAATTCAAAAACTCCCATCACAGTTTCTTGATATCTGCTACACCCTGTACATATATAGTCAGTTCCTTAGTGGCGTTTATTCGCAAATGCCTCCACCACAAATAGTCAAGAAAAATTGATTATTGTCACTTCTACATACACGCAAAAATATAAATAATATCCTTCAACTACCTACTCGAGGGCAAATGGACCCAGTAGATGTCCACTATCCAAGGTGGAGATTGTTTCCCGCGATCCACCTTGTATAGTGCCAGGGGGCAAAACCAGTGCATTTTCTCACCGGAGTATCAAAATTTAAGAAGCGACTCGATGCCGGGACTTTTTCCCCGTTCCAAAGTTGAACCATGTGGCCATTTTCCGGCCTAACAACGAATTGGAGGAGGAGACGTTGAGCTGCAGCATCGAGGACCCCAAGTAGCCGCGTTGCTGCTGCAGCTTGCCGCCATCTGGCAACCAAAAAACCTTAGAATAGGTACCAAACAGTGCAAATGGGGGACGTACGGGTTATTTTTCTTGGAGGTCTTTTCTGCCTGCAAGCGGCCAGTTTGGCCAGCTGGCGTGCCGCCGGAGGCAAGTTTAAACTTTCCGAGTTGAGGCCCACTAGGCGACGTTCTTCTTGAAAGGCCTCCAGCCAGCGTTGCTTCTCCTTGAGGGAGCGGCAACAAAAAACGAACCACTTCTTCTCTTTGGCGCCGTCCAGTAGCTTGATCGCGTGTCGCACGTTCACATTTAAACTAGAATCTACCAAAAGATGTTAGCTGCGTCTTTCTTCGCCCGCTTCTGGCCTACCTTTTCCATCAGGTACGTCAATGATTTCAGTAGCGTCCAGCCGAATTCGCCCCTTGTACACATAGGTGTTCCTTTTGAGGATATCCTGGAAAAGCAGTGAGTAAGTGAGGGTTGGAAACCCTCCAAAAGTTGCTTACCTTTTTGCAGTACACCAGCTGGTGATCGAAGAGGAACAGGGTGATGTTGGTGGTCCACACTCCTGTGGTCACTTTCGCCACCTCCCCTTGCCGAATCAGCTGCGAACTCACTCCAATCAAATCCTCGCCCTGCAAACAGCGCACAATCCTCCTCACTCACTTTATCGGTTAAGTCCTGAAGGTACCCACCTCCCAACCATCGACGCGCTGTTGCCAGGCGGCCAGTTTCTCCAAGCTCTCCATCATCCTCTTCCTCTCATTGATCAGCATGGCCACGCCTCGCATCACCTCCAAAGCCTCTTTTATATTGGCGTAGTCCTCATGGTCAGTGCGGGTGTATTTCAGCAATTCGGCCAATTGCAGGGGATATTTACAGATTCTTTGGACAGGAGTAAGCAGATAGCCGTCCAATGGGATCTCGATCAGCCCGCGCATCAGTCTACAGGCCTCGAAGAACTTGCAGTAGTTGTTGTACTGGTAGAGGTCTTGTAAGGCTGCGGTGGCCATTGGATGACTGAAAAAAAAAACGGGTGAAACTAATTGGAGGTAGATGCAAATCGGTGTGATTTCTTTTAAACTATTAGAGAAAAACGATTGGGACTTTCTGTTAGTCTGGAGAAATAATTCAAGTTTGAGTAAATTTGAAAATTTAGCCGATATTTGTTCTTGACTCTGTACGCCACTAGTCAAGAATCAAAAGCTTCCGGCTATCGCCCCAAACTCATGCAGGCAACATTGAGAAATACAACAAAAATACACTCTTGTGTGTAAAATGTAAATCTTCAAGTTCCTGTTGGACCTGCCCTCATCTACGCGCAAAAAAACTGCATTTTCACACATCATTAAAAAAAGTTATTGGTACAAAGATTTTCGATATTATGACACAATTCTAACTGAGCACACGAAGACCAGATATTTAAAAAAATTACCGCTACTAGTGATGAGCGAGACTTGTTCTGGTATTGCAAGAAGAGAAAGACCAATACTATGTATTTATATGTAAGACCAAGACTTTTGCAAGAGTCTTGCGAGATCTGTCTTCGAAGCCCATATTATGTCTTAAGGAAATTGAACATTCTTAAACACTTAACATACCGACGATTGACTTTGCGTGAGAAAACATTAAATTAGAAACAAAAGCTGTGAACAAGAGTCATATAAATCAAACAGCACTTAAAATGTGATCGATTCCAGATTTTTTCCCTTCTCTGTCAGATTATCGAAATCGGGGCAGATGGGGTAAATATTTTAAAAATAATGTTCGTTAGTCGTCGATATTGCCTAGATAAAATTGATTTTTCATCGACATTCTTAGTGTTTGTACCCCTTTTGCTTGTCCCAGTACAAGGTGAGTTTGTCTCATAGAGTAGTCCTTTTCACTATAGCGGAATATCTATAGTCTGTACGCTATAATTTTGGTCGTACGTCATCAATCGTCGGTCGAGCGTTGTTGCCATACTCGCCATAAATTATGTATATAAACATAAATACTAGAAGCATTCTTAAATTATCTCAATACTGTCTCGTTTTTGCTGATTATTATTTATGGAATGATGGTTTATGTGAAAAGCACAAATATACCGTTAACGCATAGTCATGGACAAGTACAAGACAAAGACAGCAAGCAAATGTCATGTGTTATTAAAAAAATTCCGATAAATCTACGATCGATTTGGCAACATTGTAATTTTTACTACCCTAATAATTTTAAAGATGAACATAAATAATCAGCATCGCTTTAAATTGGTTAGTTTTCTAAAGTTTTTCGTCATTTTATGATTGATTGAGGTTCTCCAATGCCCAAAACAACAACGAAAAATATTCGACTTATCACAAATTTCATTAATAATTGTTTTTATGTCGATAGTAAAATTTCGTCGCATGACGTGCGACCAAAGTTATAGCGTACAGACTATATTTATATTTTCTAGTATTAATTTATAATTTCCTTAATACCTACTTATATTTCTTTAATATCTATTTATCATTTGCTTGCGTTTAATTGGTTTTGTTCAATATCCATCTAAGAGGAACTACTATTGAACTGAACACCGTACACTATAAGTACTGGGGTGCCTCATGAACAGGGGGGGACTGCTATTCGTAACTTGAAAAATACAATTACAGTAATTTCGAATGGTTTTAATGTCGTAAAAAAGTTGCTTAAACCAGAGTATCAAATTTTATTTTTATATACATTTTTCCAAAGAAAATATCAAACTTGCCATACGAAATCTTACAAAAACTAAGATTATTCAAATTGTAACCCTCCATTTTGCTCACAGATGCGTGTTTAGCTTCGAACATAAGTATCACTTTCCATTAACTTTTTTTAACAGATTTTGCTTTATTAAATACATTTTCTCAATAATTACTAAGTTGTCCATGCTTTACGGGAAAGGAATAGTTAAATTTTTTAGTCACCCAATAATTTAAAAAATATATGAAAATAATTTTTTTTCTCGGCTTAATGACCGCCAGCTGTTAGAATTAGAGATATAAACTTTTGTAGAAAACCCTTAGAGGGTGTTACTTATACTACATGTAACAACATTATAATGTACACAAATGCGGACCCAATGAACAAGCAGCTAAAATCCTTTCTGAATTTATGTAAGGATACTGATAAATGTGTACACAGTGACCGAAAGAGTTAAGCGGAAAAATTTACTTCTTCCACCATCTTTAAAAATCTCCTTTAAAAAAATATGAAATTATTTATTTAAATGACAAGCTAATTGCAAAGGGCTACTTATTTTTGAAGCTGAACACGTTTGGGTGACAAAAATGAAGTGTTAAAATAAACAAAAAAAGATGGTTTTTCTGAGATTAGAAGCAATTTTTTGATTTTTTTCGAAATGTACATCTTAAAGCCGATATTAAAACTTGGCAGGTCCTTTTTAAAAAAAAATCGCCTTTCAGCCTCTTAAGGGGGTAGAGAACTGCTATTTCTATAAAAGCAACTCTAGTTTTAACCGTAAAAATAGCAAAAGTCTTAAGATATCAAGAGCGATTTCCGGATTTTTTATTTTGAATTTTCTAGCCGCTGTTAAATCTGTACAAGTTTTAATCTAAAAAATCGCCGCTAGAAGCCTTAATCAAACAGCGAACTGTAACTTGCATGTAATATGGAGTAACTAGCATTCTATTCAAATGTGAAAAACACACAGTTTCGTGAACGATTTCTGAAACTTTTTGAAAACTCGCGCAAGCCTTATATGCAAACGTGTGCTTTAGAAGCTATACAGATAAAGCTGCAGCTTCTACTCAATATAGAGAAACATAGTTCTATCGTTCAACAGTTCAGTACTATTTAACAGATGTAATTAAAATGCCCACTAAGTTCAAGAAAGAGTTTAGTAAATTTTTGAAAGCGCATTTTGAAACGCCAATAACCCTGTGTAGTCTCTACTTTAAAAATTACCCTTAGAAACTGTGAGCACATAGAAGAGTACCATTTTAGGAGAACATAGAGCAAATATGGCTCTATTGAACTGGCAGATTTATAATCCCTAATAGATTCAAAGCTAATTTAAGCAATTTTTTGAAAATGCGTGCTTCAAAGCCGCTATTGAACGGAATGCAAGCTCCGACTCAAAGTTCGCCCTTAGCAGCTCTAGCTAACAGGTGTAATTAAAAAAACCCCTAACCATTAAGGCGATTTTAATACATTTTGAAAACGCGCATCTCAAAACAGTGCAGGCTCTATTCAATAACTCTAGGCAGATGGAGAGCTTTAAATGGACAATATTTCGAAAACTAAACACTTTTGGAATAGACAACCTTTGACTAACTGACCCTTATTTTTAATACTGAGTAAGATAAAATGAGAAAAAAAGGGTTTCCATCTGGAAAAAAATTTTGAGCAGTTTTCTCAACGGCATTTTGAAACTTATTTTTTTAACATTTTGTAGATATTAATAGTTATAAAAATGTTGTCAAAATTCCATTAAAGTAAGATTTTTTTAACAATAAATCCGACTGAAATTAAGTAGAACTTATTCCCTTATAGGAAAACGAATAATTATTCGAGTGGCTGCAACTGTCAATTTTTTACATAAATTTTCAAATACAGTAAAGCCCGCTTATAATGAACCCGATTATAGTGAAATTTCGGTTAAAACGAACTTTTCCCCTTTAATGAAAACGTCACCCATACAGACTTACGTATTTTTTTACTGGTTGTAACGATTCTGTTTATAACAAACTTTCAGATATAACGGTGGCTTTTTAGGTTAGTTAGTATGTTCAGTTTCCGTTTATAACGAATTTGACGATGGTTTGTAACACCCATATGTTAAATCAGAACAAATGAAGTTGGTTTTTATGCCGCAGAACACAAGTGCGAAGCTCCAACTTATGGATCAAGGAGTAATTCATTCGCTGAAATGTCATTACAGAAAAATTCTTCTGTTTGAAAAGAAAATGTTAGAGGCATCCGATAAAAATGAAACATTTTCTATCAGTCTCTTAGATGCAGTAAATTATAATTCATTGAGCTTGGCAAAAAGTTAGCCGAGAAAATCTTGCTTTGTTATAAGTCTTGTTGTTTTTGTTGTTCAAAGAATGGTTTAAAATCGTTTTGGTTGTATTTATTGTGTGAAGGTTTTTCTATATTTATAATTTTCTTATTGATATCGTTTATTTTGGAAAAACAATTACTCAGTACTATATTTAAAAGTTGAATATAAAAAACATTTAGTACCTTCAAATAATTTTTATTATTCTGCTTTCTCCCAAAAGTAAAATCTCTCTTCCTCACCTGAATGAATTTTGGTACAAGTTTTAAGTTTTTGCATCTAGTTAAAAAAACATTTTCGGTTCTTCTCTCTCGCTAGCTTAGCCCTCAGCTTTATGTACTCCTTCATTATAGTGCATTCCATTTGTCCAACAATGTTGGTCAGATGAAGATGTCCACAATTTTGTCGAAGAAAAAGTTAAAATCAAATTGAAAGATTTTAATATCATCGAATATGTGACCATTGATAATGACATTCTTACAAGAGAAATGTTGTCCGATGAGCAAATTATAGACTCCGTAACCTCATCCACAACTTTAAGCGATAATGAAAAAGATGACGATTTGGGTGAAACTCATTGTACTGTAGACACTAATGCTATTCCAACCATTTGGAAATGACAAAAAAAGTGTCGGAAACTCGCAATTTTCTACAATCGCGTCAAGTTCCTAATCATTATGGGAGTCATTTTGTGATCTTGAAAACTACATAAAAAACATCAATTTTTGCAACAGAAGTGTACAAACAAAAATTACAGACTTTATGAAGTAGATTTAGAATTGCGTTATGTTCCTCTTTTTGTGTTCTTGTTGAAGGTTTGCCATTTTAGAATATGGATCGTTTCACTGTCGAAGAACGCGTAAAAATTATTAAATGTTACTATAAAAATGGCGATTCTGCTGTATCAACGTTTAGGGCTTTACGAGCAGATTACGGTCGACATAATCGACCCACATAGCAAACAATTTCGAACACAGTGGAAACATTTGAAGAAACTGGATCAGTTACTGATGTAAGGCCTGTGTATCATCGCAACATTCGTTCGGCTGAAAATATCGCTGTTGTTGTTCAATGTGTGGAGGAAGACCCGAATTCGTCGATTCCCCGACGTGCTCAACATTTGGACTTGTCTTGCTGCTCATTGTGGCGAATTTTGCAATTGGATTTGAAGCTCCATCCATACAAAGTCCAACTGACTCAATAACTTAAGCCTCAAGACCATGGGCAATGCAGAACATACGCAAATTGGATGATTGAACAACAAGCCGTTGATGATGATTTTTCGAACCGAATTTTCTTCAGCGGTGAGGCTTATTTTTCGCCCGGTGGTTACGTGAATAAATAGAACAGCCGTATATGGATCTTTCAAAATCGTCGATCGCCAAAAGGCCTTTGCATCCTGAAAAAGTGACCGTATGGTGTGGTGTGCATTATGGTCCGGTGGTGTTATTGGCCCGTATTTGTTTGAAAACGATCAAGGATGAGCCATAACAGTCAATTCTGAGCGGTATAGACGCATGTTAACCGATTATTTTTGGAGAAAAATTGAAGATTATGACCTGGAAGACATGTGGTTCCAGCAGGATGAGGCAATGAGTCACACAACACTGGCAGTTAGAGTCCTATCGAAGAGAAATTTTCAGGACGCGTAATTTCGAGATTGAGGGATGTCAATTGGCCAACAAGATCCTGGGACTTAACACCGTTAGATTTATTTTTGTGGGGATAAGCAAAAGATCATGTTTACGCCACCAATCCTCAAACTCTTGAGCAACTAAAAGCCAATATCCGTGAAGTTATGACCGAGATATTACCGGTAATGTGCCGAAAAGTCATTCAAAATTAACTGAAAAGGATTGAGGCCTGTAGGAGGTCCGTGGAGGACATTTAAATGACATTGTTTTTCACGTATAATGGCAAGGTTTAATCTTTATAATGAATTGAAATTTTCGTCTCCATCTGAATATTTTGTGTGTTTTTTTTACTTTACTTTCCTAAGCATAAAATTGATAACCCTGTATAACGAAGAAAATACATCACGTGTTTTTGTATTATTATTCGCTTATACCGAACTTTGGATATAACGAACAAGTCTTAGTTCATTTTTGAAGTTCGTTATATCCAGACACAACTGTATATCAAAAACGCTTAGACTTAGATATAGGATATTAGGTATACATGAAATATGTTTATAATTTCGAGGAGAATTCGAAAATGTAATAATATATAGGGTGTTCCATTTAAAATAAGCAAATTGATACCTACTTCCGGTAGAACCGGAAGTGTGGCCATCTTGAAATTATTTCAGATCGCTTGCTCCCAATAACTTAGGCACACTTCCAATTGTCAAATTTCACCTAATTACAGTTTGCTAGATATCGATCGCGGTGGTTCCCGGTGGGACACCCTGTATAAGCCCAATCAAAATATTTAAATACACAGGGTGTCGCAATAAGGATGGTAAGCGGCTGTATCTTGGAAAGTATGTGTTGTAGAGTTATCGGAAAAAAAATTGATAACAAACTTGAAGAAAAGAATTTGCCGGAAATTACTTTGAAATTTCTCAGATTACCACTAGATGGCGTAATGGCAAACGGTATTTTAAAAAGTCGGTTTTATACAGAAATTGTCCCTATAAGTGAAACATCTAGTAAGTTTAGTCAAAAGATCATAAAAAAACCGTACTACTTTCCTTATGAACTTTGTAGAGTTTTTATTGCTGTTTCAATTGGTAGTAAAAACTTTGAAATCGGTCAAGTCGTTTTGGAGTTACAGGTTTCTTTGAATTAAGCGGTGTGACTCTCCCCCCACGCATTATTTGACCAGTTAGGAAAAAAGTTCATCAGGAAAGTAGTGCGGTTTTTGATGATCTTTTGACTAAACTTACTAGATGTTTCACTTATGGGGACAATTTCTGTATAAAATCGACTTTTTAAAATACCGTTTGCAATTACGCCATCTAGTGGTCATCTGAGAAATTAAAAAAAAAATCCAGCAAATTCTTTCGTCAAGTTTGTTATGAATTTTTTTTTCCGATCACTCTACAACACATACTTTCCAAGATACAGCCGCTTACCATCCTTATTGCGACACCCTGTATACATCTAACTGTAGATATTTCAATGTTGTACTTTGGTTAGAATATGTAAATTACACTATGAACTTCAAAATATATTCGATTTCTCCGGATAAAGACCTTCTGGATAGAAAGTACGGGTCAACAAATTTGAATTTTACAAAATAAGTAAACTTATTAAATAGTAAATGGTCTGAGATTTTTTGTAGTTTCGTACTGATTAGTATTATCTTTTAATTTAATTATTGCTATTGTTATTATTAAATTCATTTCGTCTAATTATATGGCTATATAAAAGCAAGACTTGCAAGAGTCTTGGTCTTGGTCTTGCTTTGCTCATCACTAACCGCTACTTCCTCGTAGATTCTGTTCAAATGGCTCCACCCACTCAAATGTTCCACTCACCTGTTACAATAATCCGAATACATCTTAAAACCGGAACTGTGCTTGAGAAAACAGCTCCCCACGCAGCTACGATGGGGCGCCTCCCAATTGATGCAGGCCTCCAAGTCGCGCAAGAACCCCACTTGGAACTGGAGGATTTCGTTCAGATTGCTGAAAATCGTCGACAATTGTTCGTCGCTAAACATGTCTTTTCGCTTCTGGCATTCGGCCAAATAGCCCTCGGCTACGTCCCTCAACACTTTAACAAAATCCCGTTCGGTATGAACTAGTTCGCGCACCACACTGGTTCGCACTTGATCGTTCGACAGCAACGAAATGCTGGTTCTTCTGCGAATCTGCGCAGACACCGGCCGGCCGGAAGCGATGGCCGCCAAACAATCCTCGACGGTATCCTCCTGGCTGACGCGCAACCGCACAAACTGAGCCGGGAACCATCTGCAAGCATGCGCCCAGTTAATCAGGAACAAACAAAGTGGATCAGCGAGCGTCTTACCCCCATCTTTCGTTGTTGGAGCCCCACCACCACTCTCGATCGGTTGTGTCCTCCACTTCTATCACATCTCCTGCCCTAAAAGGCAGCTCGTCAGCTTCGATGGCTACATGATCGAAAACGGCCTCAGCCAACACAACCACGTCTTCGTCCGGTTCTGGCAGTTCCAGAGACTTTTTGTGAGCGCTCAGAGACGCTATGGACGAAACATCCGAATCGGATAGAGTGTCTTCGTCGGAGCTGTTTGGAGCTAGTCGGGCATCGTGCTCATCTTCACTCAAAGTGGCAGTGGCGCCTCCCGATGGATCTGCAATTCAGGGGCTTTTTTAAAAATTTTTGGTAAACACCACGGTGTACAAGCTAGATATTCGGGGCTGGTTGAAGGAGTTAATGGATTAAATTGAGTCAACTTACTCGCTGCCTTAATGAGCACTAGAGGAGATATTTTATCGATATCGATAGGCTGACTAAGGGAGCGTCTAAGGGCGGGTCTGCGCGGCGGCGTGCCGGGCACATGTCTGCGCAGCACCACCAGGCCGTCATCGTCGTCGTTTTCGTCAGGTGGGCGCTTCCGTGGGCTTAAGGTGCGCTTTGAGGTCATATTGCGCAGAAGGCGACGGGCCGCCTGCCGCTGCTCCCACCCCAAAAGTCGCTGCCCGCCCAGATCGCTGCGCGTCCTCCTCACCTGCCTGACTTGGCGCTGGTTGAGTTGTTGCTGTTTTGGGTCAACCTGAAAGAAAAGAAAAACATGTTTTTTTTATCAAATTCACTTTCATACCTTTTGATAAATAAATATCTGCGAAACTCAATGCGGTGGACGATTTACAAGCGGGCTACTGGTTAGAAGAGGCCAATGTGCAGAAGAAAGCCGGCTCAGAATAAATGGCAAAGTTTCGAAAATAATTCATCCTCAGGTGTTTACAAACGATTTTCATATTTCCAGTAAAATTTGAGATTTTCGTTACGTCATTAATTCATCAGTGTTTCTTCCATAACTGGTTTCCTTTCTTTAGCTCCTTCGTTTTTAGCCTTAGAAAATTCTAAATGCTCGATTTTAACAATAATAAACAATTACAACCAAATAAATAAAAAACAACAAAGTTGTACAGATCAGCTATAAACAGAGTTTTCCACCTTGAAATGCATGAATATAGAGTGACAAGTTTTCCATTGAAAAATTGGAACATTGGTGTTTTACTCAGAAGTAGCCTTATGAAGGATCTATGAGTAAAAAATCACGCATTTCGGTCAGAAATGTTTTTTTTTTGCAAAATTTCGGAGTTCTGGCAGTTTTAGACAGAAATTGACGACTGTGATTAACAAAATTGCCACAAAAAGCATCTAAATTCTCGAACTTGAACCGGGAAACCGCAAAATACCCTTATTTTTCACAAAAAGTTTCTTTACTTTGTTTTAGACACAGTTTTCTGTACATTTCCTCCATTTCAAATCCATAAAAAAAAATTGCTGCTAAACATACAGTTTCTGTCTGAATGCTTGAATTTTAACTTCCAAGGAAATTTCAATATCGTGCTTTGCTGAGGAATAATTTTGAAGGCCATCTTTTCACTTGTAGCCCAAATTTAGGGACAAATGAACGAATGTTTGCAATAAACAGCCACAAAACGCACAGCCCGCATCTAAATGCTTGAATTTCAACTAGAAAACCGGAAAATATCCATTGTTTTACTCAGAATTAACTTTAACTTATCTATCCTGAATTGCAGCGAAAAGAAAAAAAAAACAAATCGAAACAGCCATAAAAAATATTTTCTAATAAAATTAGAACGTCAAAAAGCGTGAAAATCTCCGAAACTAACAGCGCTGAACAAAATATATGGTATGGACTTTTTTCGAAAATGCCAATTAAGTAAACGAACAATTGAGAATTTTTCATTTTAAAAGACAACTTGTTTAATTCAGGTCAAATCTGATGGCTTTTAAGAAGCCCAGGACAATCAACCTGGCCAAGAATAAATGGTAAGGTTTCGGAAATAAGTCATCTTCAGGCGGAAGTTTCGGAAATAAGTCATCCTCACGTGCTCATAAACCATTTTCATATTTCCAGTAATATTTCAGATTTTCTTTATGTCAATAATTCATCTTCCATAACTGGTTTCCTGTCTTTAGCTCCTTCATTTTTAGAAACAATAATAAAAAATTAGAAGCAAATAAATAAAAAATATAAAAATCAGCTATAAACAGAGTTTTCCAGCGTTAAATGCGTGGATTTTATCAAGTGAAGTTTTCCATTGAAAAAATTTGTGTTTTAATCAGAAGGTAGCATTATGAAGCATTTATGAGTAAAAAATCACGTGGTTCGGTCAAAAATTGATTTTTTTTCAAAATTTCAGAGTTCTGGCACAGTTTTAGACCGAAATTGACGGTTCTGATTTAGAAAATTGCCACAAAAGGCCTCTAAATTCTCGGACTTCAACCTGGAAACCGCAAAATACACTTATTTGTCTCAAAAGTTTTTTACTTTGTTTTAAACAAAGTTTTTTTAAACTTTTCTCCATTTCAACTCAACTTCAGAAACAAATTAAGACGATAAAATCCATTTAAAAAAAATTGCTGTTAAAAATACAATTTCTGCCTCTGAATGCTTGAATTTTAACTTCAAGATCGTGATTTGCTGAGGAATAAATTTTTTACTTGCAGCCGGAATTTAGGGACAAATGAACAAATGTTTGCAATAAATAGCCAGAAAATGCGCAGCCCGCACCTAAATGCTTGAATTTCAACTAGAAACCCGCAAAACATCCATTGTTTTACTCAGAATTAACTTTAACTTACTGAACCTGATATGCAGCGAAAATTTCAGGAAAAACCGAAAGCCATATAAATAATTTTCTAATAAAATTGGCATGTAAAAAGGGTAAAAAAAATCTCAAAATCTCCGGAACTAACAGCGATGAACAAAGGCAACTTGTTTAATTGAGGTCAAACCTGGTGGCTTTTTAAAAGCCTAGGACAATCAAGCTGCCCGAGAATAAATGGTAAAGTTTCGGAAACAACTCATCTTCAGGCGCACACTTTTCCATTATCTAGCCATAGTTCAACGAACAATTTTCATAAAATTCCTATTAGATTTGAGGTTTTCTTTGTTGTTTGCTTGCGACTCTGCGTCATAATTAGTTATTTGCAGGATTTTTTCCCAACCGAAAATCTTGCACTCTCAAAGAACATTTTCCGTAAACCTTCAAAAACAAAGAAAAAACCAGTTTGCTAACCTGTACTTTAAGAACCGACATGAAGAAGCTGACCAGATCCTTGGCCATCGCCGTGACAAAAAACAAACACCAAAACAAATCTTCACTTTAAACGCCCGCAATCATCTTCATTTCCCACTAGTTGACGAGTTTCTTCAGTTTCTTTGCCCTCAAGCCTCAACTTGAAGGTAGGTACCGCCAGCTGCGCAGACAGTCGGTTACTAAGCGGTGCCGCCTCTCATTCTGATTCCTTCGGCACCTTCAACCAAATGTACTGTTCAATCTTCCATATAGATGAAGATTTTGAAAGTACGGGGTGTCCAATTTTTCGACAGTAACTAGCAATGTTCTTTTAGCAGACACTACACTTGAACTCCTGCTGCTAGTTATACGTCTCGCACAAATTGCCTGAGAACTTTGAAATTGAAACCGAGCAAAGAGTGGGCGAGGTTTGTACGAGTGGAACATCATGGAGTGGAACCATCGGAACCAAAGCAAAATCCGCTTTGTACAAAAGCCGATACAATTTTAAGGAAACTGGCACCAGTCTGGTACTGTTTGGTGTCGAATCGTTAAGCAGCTGTTGGTTCTTGGCTTGTGCGCCAGGTGCAACGACATGCAGCATCCGGTAAAGATGGTACTTTTTTCCCCAGATGCGCCAGCTGATCCCGATAGAACTGCACGTGCTGTTCCCGAATGCCACTCGATTGGGGGACGCAAGATTAGCCCACCTTTTTTTTCGGCCTGAGCTTGAAATAGATTAGATGCAAATGCAAAATTGACCAAAGACAGATGTTAGTGCGTAAATATTTACGCAAAACACTCAAAATTTATTTATTTATTTTTCAGGCAACTGATGTAAATGCGGCCTGATTTGTTTAGTCAAAGCAAATGGAAACAGTTGCGTAAATAGGAAATAAACCGTACGACGGTATTACGCTATGCATTTTTCCCCGATTTGTTGACCAATAAAGGGAGCAGCTTATTGAGGGTCCAACTAACTAAAGAAAACTCTCCCAAAATCTAAATTTATTCTAGGCAAAAACCACTAATCGAACGCAAAAAGAAAATGACTGTTACCAGCAGATTTCACTCAAGAAAGTCCAACAGTGACAAGATAAAAAACATGTAAAAATAACGCAATTTTCCTGTTCGGACACACGGTCTGCTTCCTTAATCGTCCATTCCGGTTAGTTTAAAACCATGTCTGGTGCTAAATGTGTAACGTTTATTTATAGAGAAGCCGCACTTGCTCAAAAAGAGGCGCCTTATCCGATTGGGGCAAAGTGATTTTGGAAATTTGCCGTTTGAAGTCGCGCAGGGCTCCGTAAAACGTAATTAGCTCAATTAAAAGTCATATTAATCCCGTAAATCCAGTACTTAAATGAACTTTGACGCACACAATCTCCATTAATTTCGCATTAAACCGCGAGCATGGGAATGAGCCAGATGGGAGAGCAAATCGGGTTTAGGTTTCAATCAAATACTGTGCAGGAACGAGAATATTGACAAATCATGCTTGTTTATGTTTTATGTTTAGAGGAGAAGCCGCCACCAAAAAAACACCGTTAATGGGCCTTAAATAGTTCAAATAGTTTTGGCCCGAAATAGTTTTAAGAACGGTTTTTCTGTCAAATGTATGCAATAAACTTGTTTTGTCCGCAAATATTTGCAAACGTTTAAGCCCGAGTTTACAGAGAAATTAACTACTTTTACGGCAGAAAACCCGCGTATGCGTTTAATTCCCCCAAATTCGTAAAGTTCAACTTCAAAATCGCAAAATTATTTTGTATGGACCAGGACACTTTTGTATGGATCAGAAAAGATTAAAATAAATTGCCAAAAACTTGAAAAATATTTTTTCAGTTCCTAATTTACAAGTCACAAAATGCGTTGTCTGCCTCCAGAAGCTTGAATTTCCACTTGGAAATAACAACATGAGTGAGGAAACTAGAGTGGTTTTGACCCAGAAAGCGAAATCAATATCAAACACTTAAGTATAAAATTATGCCAAAATTTCATGATTTCCGTCCCGTTTTGCTCATTTCTCGGAAGCAAGAACGCTAATTTTTACATCATTCCAGAGATAACTAACTGGCCTTTTTCGAAAGTATACCGTCGATAAGGAAATGTTGGCAGTTTTCTGAAAAAAGTGTTGAGTTCAAGAAGTTTTAGATTTGCGTGGTTTTTTTAGTTGCCAAATCGACTCAAACATGACTCTGCATTTTAGAAGTTTTCCAAGCTCCACTTGAGCCACAGAATTCGTTTTGGGATCGTTGGATAGAGAATTGAAAATTCGATTCTGTCATCACAACATGAGTGAGGAAACTCGAGTAGTTTTGACCCAGAAAGCGAAATTTGAATATCCGACACTTAGGTGCACGATTTTGCCCGTTATGGCTCATTTCTCAGAAGCAAAATGAGCAAGAACGTTAATTTTTACATCATTCCAGAGAGAACTAAATGGCCTTTTTCGAAAGTGAACCATCCATAAGGAAATGTTGGCAGCTTCCTCAAA